GTATCATTTAAAAGCAAACAATGATTAGTATGACTACTAGAAGAGGTATTTTTGAGTATCCATGACCTACTTGATGCTTGCTACTGACTTACCATTTTTAAGTATTTTATATGAATGATGCACAAGCTACAACTGGTAAGTTGTTACCTATAATGTCACTTTTCAGGTAATATAAATGCTGAATTTATGTATTAGTACTATATATGTGTTGTTACCTATATGGTGTACTTTTGATAAATTTATTCACTAATTGCTTGGTTGAATTGAGTGAAGGAAAGTCAGAGGCGTTAAATCAAATCCAATAGGTAGGATATACCTAGAAAACAACAATATTTTTGAGAGAGACTCAATAAATATTATGACAATGATTTTATGATCCTTTTAAACTCTAATAGAATTTAGAAAAAATATTCTGACCACAAACAGTTGTATTTCATATAGATGCTACAAATAATTAATAAAGTTTTATGCTGATTTGAGATTTATACACTTATTTAAGAAAGCAAATTTGATTTGCTAAGTTGCAAATTAGTTGTGTATAACTTTCTTGGCATGTGATTGAAATTAAGGCTTGAGAATGAATCTCAATATTGTTTAGCCTATTATGCCATTAATTGAGGATAAGACATCGGGATCAAGTCCTGATGCTCCATAATGATAAGAGTTGGGTTTGAGTCCCAATTTATTATGGCCTAACATGCCTTTATATTGGTAAGACATTGGGTTTGAGTCCCAATGTACCATATTGATGATATAATGATGACTAAAGAAAAATAATATATTTTTCATGAAAAGGCATGAAAATTGTCCCACTTGATTTGCCCCATTCTTGAAGTGAATGTGGTAACAATGCATAATAAGTTTCAATGAAGACAAGTGGTTGAACAATGAACGTGGGCGTTCCAAATATCAAAATAATAATAATCATCACTATGATTATAAAAGGAGAACAACAAGGATTCTCAAAATAGTCCTTCAAAATGTGAAGGCAATGCTTACCATCAAATTGGTATAAAAATAATAAAGCACGTCGCTGATTATGATCCATTCCTTGAAGAGAATGTGACTTATGATAAGCATTGAGAATGCAAACCCATTCCTAAAGTTGAATGTGGCAATATGTGATAAAAGCAATGAATAAAGACATGCAATTCATGATTATATGAATACCACACAACTCACCTCTAAGGGAGGTTTGAGTAAAATAAAGAGAATAAATATTATTGTGTGGTTACATGAATATGTCATTGGTCGCGTACATGTGATATGCCAAATATTATTTTGTCATGCCTTATAAAAGTTATTAAAGGCAAAATTAAAGCAAGAAATGATTTTGCTTATGATGATTTTGACCATGATAATTTATTATGATATAATTTTCTCCGTGAAGGAGACATTTACCATATGAATGGTATGATAAAAGATCTTGTAGTACAAAAGTTGTTAAGAACTCCGGAAAAACTAATTTGTTACTACCCGGATGAATAAACTTATTCATGACATTGATATTGTAAAGTCTCAAAAGAAACTTTTTGAGTTTCAAATATATAAGTCAAAGTGATTGGCATATTGAGACTATAAATGAAAGGAAGATTGAATATCTTCATATTTCTATAATCATACCGGGTAAATATGAAAGGTTACCCGATCTTCTTTCTATTTGTACTACACAAATATAAGCATGATGCTGGAATCATATGCCACAAGTAAACTAGAGATTTACTAAAATAAATATTAATTGGCATGGCCGGTTGACCATATCGGTTCAATTATGATGCGAAAAATTAATTTAAGAATTACATTGACACATATTGAAGAATAGAAGATTCTTCAAGAATTCTCTTGTGCTGCTTNGTATGATGATTTATCTTAATAATACTGGTTTAAATCCAAGTTGGTTTAGCAGAAATTGTACGCGTCCAATTATAGCTAAATCATTGGTTATGAGAATAAAACTCCCAAAAATAAAATTTGGTATGAGATTTATTATTTAATATACAGTAGCACTTGTACGCATCTAGCCAAGTTATAAAAAAATTTTCCCTATCACAATCGGTTCAGGGTCAGGAACCAAATAATTTATATATAGAAATATGGATATGCTATATGATTTAATTATGCCACCAAAATGCACAAAGATGAGTTCCCAAAGATGGTTGGGAAATGTGTTGGTGATCCCAACATTAGGGGGAGAAAATGGGCAGCTGAGAAAGTGATACGTGAAATGAATTATTATGAATACATATAGATCCTCGTACAAGAAAATATAAACTTGAAGTTCAAGTGATAATTCATTTACAAATTATTGCCAGACGCATTTGCTGACCCAAAGCTAAATGTCATATTTCAGCTGCTAATGCTCCAAATAGAATAAAGTCCATGAGGGACAGAGTCTATGGCACGCATGAAGTGTAACAGACCAATCGGTTCCAAAGATAAAACTCCTTGAAGAAGGAGAGGGGCAAATATTCAAAATGGTCATAATAAGGAGGCAAGTGCCCTAGAAGAGCACCACGACATAACACTTCATAAGACCTCATGGGAGAGGCTCAGGTACCTGAAAATAATGAAATAAAGAGATCTCAATAAGTTATGTCTTTATTGGGTAATAATGGAACCGACATAAAATGATTGTCGACGATATTGTTAATATAATGTAGCGCTCAATATGATTAATATTGACGAGGATCTTGAGATCAAATCTGTCATGAAATTTGGACGGATAAAAGATTGGCCAAATAAAAAATACGCAATGAAATTGACTTCACTTGAAAAATGTGAAGTTGGACGGATAGTCCAACACCTGAAAGTATAAAGTCAATTGAGGTATAAATGTGTTCTTGTGCGAAAGGTTCAAGTCGATAGACATAAAGACGACTTGTGGCACAAGAAAATTAGTAAATATCCTCACATTGATTATATGGAGACATGTTCTCTTATAGTGGATATAGTCACTTCAGGTTTTAATCTGGCAATATATGAAAAACTTGATATGCGTATAGTGGATATCATTGAAAGATTTAAATTGTCTTGGAGCATATTAAGGTTTCCAAGAAATTTATTAAATAATGCTTCAAAAATCCTTATACGGATTGAAACAATCAGGGCCCATGTGGTATAATCGCCCGAGAGAATACTTGTTGAAAGAAGGGTATAAGAATAATTCAATTTGTCCTTGTGTCCTTATAAAAGGATATGGATTTGAATTTGTTATAATCGCCATGTATGTTGATGATTCAAATATCATTAGAACTCCCGGAGAGCTTCCTAAAGCAGTAGACTGTTTAAAGAAAGAATTTGAAATGAAAGATCTTGGAAAGACAAAATTTTGTCTTGGTCTACAAATTGAATATATGAAAGATAGAATTTTTGTCCTTCAATCAGCATACACTAAAAAGATTTTAAAGAGCTTCTATGTGGATAAAGCACATCCATTAAGTACCCCGATGGTTGTGAGATTACTCGATATAAATAAAGATCCACTCCGACCTCATGAAAATAATGAAGAGCTTCTTGGTCCTAAAGTACCATATCTTAATGCAATTGGTGCGCTAATATATCTTGCTAACACTACAAGGCATGACATAACCTTTTCAGTTAATGTCTTAACAAGATATAGCTCCGCTCAAGGAGAAATTGGAAAAAAAATCAAACACATATTGCGTTATCCAAGAGGGATTACCGATGTGGGCTTATTTTATGGCAATGATTGCAATACCGATCTTGTTGGTTATATCGATGTGGAGTATTTATCTGACACACACAAGGCTTGATCTCAAACATGTTATGTGTTTACATGTGTGGCACTGTCATATCTTGGTGATCGACTAAGCAATCAATCGTGGCTACTTCTTCTAATCATGTTGAGATAATTTCTATTCATGAAGCAAGTCGAGAATGTGTATGGTTGAGGTCTACTATACATCTTATTCGAGACAAATGTGGTTTGAAGTGTGATAAACTACCCACAGTTTTGTATGAATAAAATACAACATGCATAGCCCAATTAAAGGGAGGATTCATAAAAGAGTTAGGACAAAGCACATTTCACCTAAATTATTGTTCACACATGATCTTCAAAAGAATGGTGATAATGTGCAACACATCCGTTCAAGTAATAATATGGCTGATTTGTTCACCAAATATCTACCGGCGTCAACCTTCAAGAAACTAGTGTACAAGATTGGGATACGAAGGCTCAACGATGTGAACTGATGATCTCATCAGGGGGAGTTAATACGCGTTGTACTCTTTTTCCCTTACAAGGTTTTGTCCCATTGGGTTTTCCTTGCAAGGTTTTTAACGAGGCAACCAAAAGGCGTATTTCTAAATATGTGTACTCTTTTTCCTTCATTAGGATTTTTTTCCCATAGGGTTTTTTCCTAATAAGGTTTTAATGAGGCACATTATTTATGAACATCTAAGGGGGAGTGTTATGATAAAAATCAAAATATGGTGGATGTCCACTCTTCCTCCACGATCTTTCTCTCAAATGGTCAATGACATATTCCATGACATATTTTCTATGTTCAATGACATATTCCATGATATATTTTCTTCACTTTTCATGCATATATAAAGGCCTTATAATAGATAGGAAAATACCCACAATTGAAGAAGAAAATTTCTTCCTTTCTCTCTATCTCTTTCTTGTTCATGTTTTACTAAATTGTCTTTATTTCTTGTTCATGTTTTACTAAATTGTTTTTATTTCATAACATATACATTATTATTTTTCTTTGATGTTAGTACTCAATATACTTGGATTTAAAATTAATTATGTTTGACTAAGATTTACCTACTGTATCTCTCTGATAATTAGTTTAACAAAAAGGATAACGCTTTTTTTGGTCAAACACATCCGCCTCCATATTATCAATGTACATGGAGTAATTATTCATTACAAAATAAATAAACATGTCAATACAAAAGAGTCATGTATCACCCAAATATGAATCAATCAAAAGTACAGATTCTCTTCCCAGCTAGACACGTTGACTCTACAACAAAGCAACAACAATGAGAGCTCCAGCAAATGCAGCTCCACCAAAGACAGCTCTGTTACCGGAGTTAGGTGCCGGTGGGACGTCGGCGGCGGGCTGACCTGCCGGAGAAGCACCAGGTCCGGCGGGGGTTGGTGAAGATGGAGAAACAGGGAGAGATGATGGTGAAGGTCCTAGGGTTGGAGTTGGTGAGGTGGTCGGAGTTGGAGTCGGCGGCGACATTGCCGGCGCCGGTGTCGGAGTTGGTGAAGCGGTGGGCGAGATTTTAGGTGCTGGAACAGGGGATTGAGCTATGCATGAAGTGGCGAAAAGAGCTAAAAGTAAGAAAATTTTGAAGCTTGTGGAAGAAGCCATTGATGAAAGTTGGTTTTCTTGATTTTGCAGAGGAAAAAAGAGAAATGATTTTGTTGAATGTAGGAAAGTAGAAGAACTCGAAAGTGAATGGAGAAAAGATACTGTGGAGAGGAAATATATAGGAGGGGGAGAGGGAATATGGAGGTTGAAACTATCATTTTTCCAATAATTATATAAACTATTCCTTATACTTGTGATACTATTTCCTATTTAATTTAATGAATGCCACCTTATTGTCATTTTAAAAGTCTTTAATTCTCTTTTTCTTTTTAAAATATACTCCCCTCCTTTCAATTTATGTAAACATATTTGACTGGACACAGTGTTTAAGCAAAAAACAAAATTTTTGAATTTATGGTATAAATGAGGCACATATATTTTGTGTGTCTATAAATCATTGCATAAAAGATAAATTATTTCCAAATATGAAAATGGGTCATTCTTTTTGGCACGGACTAAAAAGAAAATATGTTCACATAAATTAAAACAGAAGGAATATAAGTCAAATAGCTTCACGTGTTAAGTACTCATTCTTTCATTCTTAATCAGAAGTTTCAGGTTCGAACCTTAGTTATGGAGTCATTTTTTTTAGGGATTATTTTACCCTATCATGTGGACTTTTCAGCACGAATTTGAATTTAATCGAGTCCTAACGTAGATACAGGATACCAATTAAAAAACCAGGAAAAAAAAAAAGGAAAAATACCTATGCACACGATATGAGTAGGATTACGGGAAAATACAGAAGTACAAGATATGAGTATGTCTGTTGGTAATGGGAATAACAGGTAAAAACGAGTAATAATTCAGGAAAAAGCGGTGGCGTGTGGACTCTAATGAAAATCTAAATACAGTTACGATGGTGTTTGGCTAAGCTTATAAGCTAGTCAAACTGGCTTATAAGTGTTTTTTGGCTTATCTATATATTTGGTAAAATTAAAAGTGCTTATAAGTTAAGTGCTTATAAGCCAAAAATAAGTCAAAAGTCATAAGTTGGTCTCCCCCAACTTATCAAATTTCAGCTTATAAGTACTTTAAGTTTGACCAAAATATTTACTTTTCTATCCCTAAAATAATTTTCTTTAAAACAAAACTCTTCGTATACCCAGTTATTCAGCTGCTTATTATTAATTTCAGCACTTTTATCCAAACACGTAACTGTTTATTTTTTAAATCAACTTTAACACTTAAAAGTATATTTCAGCACCTAATACTTATCAGCTACTCTAAATCAGCTAAACCAAACAGGCTATGCGTTTCTATGTCATTTTCATTGAAACTTAGTGAAAATGAAAGGGAGAAGCTATAGATTTGGTCATTATCATTTTTGTTTTTTCTAATGGATACACGTATTGAATTGACCTGGTTTCTTATTTATAGCTTTGAAATATTCTCTTGCTAAGAAAGTATAGTACGATCAAATGGATTGTTTAATGGGGATAATACATATGACCCTTGAATTTGTCTCATTTCATATTTTAACTTTATAGAGTTCTATATCCTCCTAAAATTATACTTAATTTTCTTTTTCAATTTATGTAACGCATTTCAGATTTCAAGTAGTGTTAAACGAAATTTTTTAATTGTAATTATATATATATATATATATATATATATAAAATTCATGCTGAAAAGTCCACATGATGGGGTAAAATAATCCCTAACAAAAATAATTAATCATTATGACTTATGATACTTTTATATGTAATTTTTCAAATATGTAATTTTTATTTTAGAACTTTTTTACAAAAAAAAATTGAATTCTCAATCAAAATTAAGAAGTTTAACTTTCAAAATCCGAGCTGTACATAAATTCGACGGAGTAAAATAGCTCCTATTAGGACAATATATAATAAGTTACATAATTATAAATGATAGAAAAATGAATACACAATGAAATATAGATCCGTTTGATAACACTTTGTTTGTCTTTTTATTTTTATTTTTATTTTTGTTTTTATTATACTTAGAGGGTGAGAATGAGACAAGAGGGGTTGTTCTGATGGTAAGCAACCTCCACTTCCAACCAAGAGGTTGTGAGTTCAAGTCTACCCAAGAGTAAGGTGGGAAGTTCTTGGAGGGAAGGATGCCAAGGGTCTATTCCCCATACCCCACTAAGTGAGATTATACTGGGTTGTTGTTGTTGTTGTTGTTGTTGTTGTTGTTGTTGTTGTAGAGGGTGAGAATGGGAAATAGTAAAGAGAATTACACGGTGTCCGACAATCGAACACCACTAACAAGGTAAAAGTTAATTAAGTTAAGCCAATCAATCAAGCTGCGTTTATTCTCGTATTAAGTTTATTGCAACTGTACCTTGAGGCTTGGATACTGGGCTCGTTTGATACGAGGAATAAATGATAATTAATTCTGACTTTAAATTTGAGATGAGTTTATCTCATGTTTGGTTGGGATAAAATCATAGTATAACTAAAGTCAAAATTGTAGTGTTATTTTTATTTCTATAAAAAAGTGGAATAACAATCCCGAGGTAACTATATCTTGATAAGTTTCCGCGGTGAAACTCATCCAGAAATAGACTTTTAATTTATTTATTTCTTGTTTGACACATACAGAATTTTTAGTTATCAAGAAAATAGCTTAGTAGTAAAGATTCAAACTTGTCACTTCCACCAAAAAAAAAATGATGAACATAAAGAGAAGCTACGTCTGAAATCTGAATGGGTCATTTCCATTATTTAAACTAAAAGCTCGTGAATTGTCAACAAACAGCAAATTAGTACAAAATATTTTGGTATATGTCAATTTTCAAAGGACGAATTTTTCCAATTGTGAAGTTTGACGTACCAAAACCAACCAAAAAAAAAAAAACAATGAAACTATTATATAGCTGGTTATATTCTGAAGTTAGGTAAAATGTCATTATCTACTAAACTGTGATTAGTTGGATGCAAATTGATCTAATTATCATATTATAAATTCTAAATTTCTAAAGACCTTTAAAGCTTGTTTGGATGGTTGTTACGCATCGCTTCATAATGTATCGTATCGTACTATATTGTACTGTTTCGTTTAATAAATACAATGTTTGGATAGATTGTGTCGTTTGCCATCGTTTCATGATATCACGCACCAGTATTATGAAGAATAAACTTGCAATATTATAAAGAAATATTATGATGCAAGGTAAAATTACTATATAAAAAGATAGGGTAAATGATAAAATAAAATAATTTAATAATAATAAAGGGTGAGATTGAGAGAAAAAGACAAGGTAACGACGCGACCACATCAAATCGGTCGTTACATAAAGTGGCACATTTCGTCGTTATGTAACGACGGATTTAACGATACGATACAATAAAATTTAAGTAACAATCAAAACAAACATTGTATTTAAAGTAACAATACGATACGATACAATGCATAACAACCATCCAAACAAGTTGTTAACGTTTTGGATAATTGATTGGAAACTTCATAAAACAATGCAATAGGGTGAAATGGAACGTAAAACCTAATTTCTTTTGAAGAATAAAGACAAGCTATTTTTCAAGAGTTTAATTTATGTACACGGAGGAAATTAAATTATTTTTACACTATCATGTCACACAAAAAATATGTATATATCATCTTTCATGCTGAAAACAAGATAGATTATTTATTACAACAGAAAGAAATTATTTAATAAGTAATTTTTTTTTGTCAATGTATATAAACTAAATTCATTTCCGAGTAGGGGTGAGCATAAAATCCGAAAAACCGAATTCCGAACCGAACCGAATTAATTTGGTATTTCGGTTTCGGTTTATTCGGTATTTCGGTATTTCGGTTCGGTATATGGTATTGAATTTTTGATATTTCGATATTTCGGTATACCAAAATAATTTAGTGTAATGGAGAAAGGTTGTATTCATCTTACTATTGTACTTTTGCGAAACAAATACACACTCTCAGTAGTATCCTCATCATCGACAAAAATAGTTTCATTTCAACTTCTCTTCAGAATTCGTACCTCTATCTTCTCTGTTGTGCCATGCAGAATAGTAAATTGCTCTCTTTGCAGCTACTGATGCTTTGCAAGAAGCATGTGCAGCTGAGAGGTTGCTCAATTCATTAAGGTAATTACTTTTTGTATTCAATCCTCCTTTTCGCTAATTGAATCTCACAATTATAGATAGCTTTCATCTTTAAAATAATACATTACATGTAACTCAGAACGTGCCAATATGAAATGAACTCAAATTAAGTTAGATAACTTTCATAGTATATATTCATTGCTAAATTTTTGGAAGCAATTAAGGGTCCTTGAATTCGAATTGCCTCATTGCCTTATCTAAATTAGTTTATCAGTGATATAAGAACTATCTTGGCAGCTGTCCTCTAACTGCGAAAAGTTATAAAGCATATGATAGAGATCATGGAAAGACTCTCAGCATATACCACCTACATATCAATCAACTAGGGGAAAAAATGAGTCACTGTCTTAAATATTTCTAACATGGATTACATTAGTTGATGGAGTGAGGGAGATAGTGAAGATTTGGTTTAAACCGAAACCGTACTGAACCAAAATAAGAAATATCGAACCGTACCGAAATATTTTGGTACGGTATTTGGTATACACAATTGATAAACCGAATACCGAAATACCGAACCGAAATTCTTAAATACCGAACCGAAATACCGAATGTCCGCTCCTATTTCTGAGCTATGCTAAAATTTGGTCCTACAGATATTCATAGAAGGAACAAATCTCGCAAATAAACAGGTGAAAATGGATGTGAACTGCCACTCAAATGATCTTTACGACGAAAAAATCGCTCTTTCATTTACTTCGGCTTAAAATAGCCAGATTTATAAGTGACATTCAAAAATAACCACACTTTTAAAAGTAATCGAAATTTAATCACTTTTCATATGAAGATAAATTTGAGCGAAAATACTGTTCAAAACCCGAAAAATACCCCAGTATATTATGCTGGAGTTCAGCATAAGTATACTTGAACTCCAACATATTATAGAGTTCCAGGATAAGTATA